TGGGGGTCACAGATGTGAATCTTCATGAACTTGCAGGTTTTACCGGATGTGAAGCGTCCTTCTTTCCATTTTCCTATCTTTGGATGCGAGAGTGCAAAGTTGGAACTTGAATACAGACAATTTTCATAAGAAGCTCAACAATTTTAAGGGAAAGATGCTCTCTATAGGCAGTCATTCCACTTTAATCAAGTTTGTGTAAGGTTCTCTTAAATTCTTTTTAATGTTAGTATCATCCTTTGGAGGCTTTGAGATCAAGATTCTTTTAGAGTCAGATGGTATAGAGAAAAATTTACTTTGCTCAAGTAGGAAATGGTAATGACTCTTAAGGAGAAAAGAGGGCTTTAAATTGGTAGTCTCATTAATTTTTACATAATCTTCAAGCTTTTTAGGGAAATGTGTCAAAATGTATTCATGGGTGTTCGGATGGTACAAGGACAATGAAGGATAGGGTGAAAACAAAAGGATTTGGGCTAGTATTGTGTGTTCCTTAAACAAATTACATGATAATTATATTATTCCTCGCTCCATATAGAAAGAAGTGTGGGTGATGGAGTAGTGATTTGTTTCTTGTAAGTAGGTATGGCTTGTACATGTATTGTTAATGTTAAAATATTGTCGCATACGTCTTAAACAAATAAATTATCACTGCTTGGTTGCACTAAAAGAATAACATAAGGAAGCAAATTCGAATCCATAGGGACACAACCTAAAAGTCAATGCCACTTTGTGTAAGGCACACACTAGTCAAATTAAAAAAAGGATTATTGATTAATAATTAAAACTAGAATAGTAGTGAAATAAAGTAATTAAAATTCAGTAAAAAAAAATTAGTTCTACGACGACTTTCCTAATTATGCAATCAACACAAGCCTGGTTATTTAAGATGCGTTCTATCTAAGTTGGTACTGAAAACTACCAAAAGGCTCTAGTAAGCTCTCTTTTACCTAGTTAATTAACCAAAAAAAGCTCTTCAGTTTATCCAAAACTTTTACTAACTTATTTAAACAAGCTCTTAATCAAAATAGAAACGAAGCATTATGATCCATGTAAAATCCCAACAATATTCAATACTTCTCTCAAGCATGGAAGTATAAAAATATGAAATTTTAGTTTATAACTAAGTCAAATCCCAACACGGAACCTATTTGTTATTTCTTACTTATTACCAATTAATTAAAACAATTACGGATTTCAACAATTGATTAACTAGATTGATTTAATTCTAAATTAGGTTATTAGACTAAAAAGAATTAAAAATCTAACATTCACTGAAGTCAAAACTGAAATATCTAGATAGAATCACACAATGAAAACCAAGTCTAATGATTAATTACATAAAAATTACTAATCTTGCAGAACTAAAATATAGGGTTTAGCAAGATATGGATAAACTTGGTCTAGAATAATATGAAGAGACATTAATCAACTAAATTTTACTAAACTAAATGAGATCCACAGCCTTCAGATCTTCAGAAAATGATGAAAAAGTGCAAAAATTGCCTTTAAAACTCATTTTTTCGTCATTTGGGAACGTCCAAGTCCTAAACTAATATGATACAGAGCCTTTATGTGTAAGCCAACAACAACAAATGCACATTTTAAGAAAATACGATCATAAAAAAACACGATCGGTTTTTTCTTCAAAGACCTATTTTTCGCCTTTAATCAAGTACGTTGCTATTTTAGACACTTTTCTCGAAAGCACGATCATGTTTTTGGAAAATAACAATTGTGCTTTTTCCACGAGGCCCCGAAACTTGATTTTTGGCTTGGAAAAGTTACGAAGGTGAAGCACGATTAAAAGCACGATCACATGGTGAAAAACATGATCATGTTTTTCATAAATGCATGTTTCAGATGTGAGCTCTTCAGTTTTAGCAAACTCAACCCCAATTCTAGCTTCATCAGGTATTTTAGCTCCATTAAGCTCAAAGTATGCATCCAAGTTTCTTCGAAAGTACCGCTCCACTCAAAATATCTGAAAACAATATAAAAACATGAGCAGTATGGAATTTCTAGCGATAAACATGAGCTAAACATTATTATACTGATACACATGAAAAAGCATAATGCATGTTGCAACATGTAGTAAAATATATTATAAAAAATGCATCAAATGACATTTAACAAATCTCCCCAAGTTTAAACGTTACTTGGCCTCAAGTAATAAAAAGATTAAACATTATAAACAAAAAGTAAAGATGTAAATGACCTAAAGAAGAACTTAAAATAAAAACTAAAATAAAATAAAGGAAACTAAAACAGTTCACTTATATATATATATATATATATATATATATATATATATATATATATATATATATATATATATATATATATACTTTTTTTCTTCTTTTTACACATGATCAGACTCTACACCGAGGAAACTCCAATGGAATCACTACCTAGATGACTATTATAACACCTTTCATTTTTCACAAACTCCTAAAGTCAGGAAGAAGCTCGACGATGTGAATCTATAAACCAACTATAAATTTTATCTAAACTTTATACCTTAATTAAAATTATTCACAAAAATAGCATATTTCCGTCGAGGCAGTCAACCCTCCCTTAGGGACCTTATCTTTATGCTTTCACTTTTTCTGAGAGCATCATAACCATATCACATAATTTTTCAGTTGCTCCAAATTTTTCTTTAAGTTTGCTCTTGATTTGATTTATCTTGGATAATGTATATTTTTCCTTCAGGTTTAGTTCTTCAATCTTCTTTGTTGTTTTTTAATTGGGTACTAGATTTGATAGTTTGTACCCGCTTCGAGCTAGGATGTGACAATTTTGCTTGTTTCTTCATTTTTTTGTTAGTTGTGTGAATACGATATAGAGCTCTCTGTTACTGCAAGGGGTAATGTGTGTCAAAAAATAGGGCTATATTATGTGGGTCCTAAACTAGTCCAACACGGTTCTTACTTTGAATTATAAAGAAATTAGCTCTAAAAGTGTTTTATTTTTGCTTATGCAACGTTTTGATATATAATTCTTTTTATTTTTTGTAGCTGGCATCTCGACTCATGGTGTTTTGTGACCCCTAATTATGAGAATGATTACAGAACTTACCACTATCGATCCAGTCGATTCAGACTTTCGTTTTCCATCTTTTCAATGCTGTGGAAAGTAAATAATGTCAACATCTCATGTAACTTTTTCCATAGATATATTTTGAGTTTTTTTATTTTTCTAATTTTTTTTTTCAAATGTAAAAAATCAACTAAAAATAAAAATATTTTTGCTTTTTTTTTTTTTTTTTTTTGTAGAAAAACAGAAGATAATATATATATATATATATATATATATATATATATATATATATATATATATATATATATATATTAACTTTTTCTTCTATATTTTTTTCTATTTTCAATGTAGAAAATAAAAATAAATAATTTTATTATTTTAACAAAATTGCATATTTTTACTAAAATGCAAACTTTTCATTAACCCCCTCCGTGAGCTTAAAATAAAGTATTGTTCTCAATGCTCATAGATGAATGAACAACTCAATAAAATAGATAAATATTATAGTTAGGAAAGAATGTACCTGATATGTTGCAGAAAATATTGATTTTGAGGAAGGTGTTGGTGAAAATCATGAATTTTCGCAAAATAGAAGAGCCTCTTATTTCCTAAGCTTGCTTGGACCGCATCCAACTCTTATTGAAAACGGAAAGTAAAAACTATATAGGTTGCCTCTCAGAAAGCCATTATTTTTTAAAGTTGTTGGCACGACTTTGGCTAACCTGATTTGTTAACTGGTATGGTTGGGACTCATGTTCAGCTCAACTTCATTCTTTCTTACTCTAGGTTGTCACTAAAAGGATGTTTAGATTTATGTTTTAATCAGTCGATAGTAAATCAAAGTAAAGAATACAAAGATTCAAATAAGATATGGTTTTAGCTCAAATATATTCTTAAATGAGTACAAATAAAGTGTATGCATACAAGTGTGCAAAAGATGTTACGACTCTCTACAATACCTACCCTATTTATAGGGTACTCATTCAAACAATAAAAAATACAAGGACTTGACCATTAAGTATGAACCACCAATCTACCTAGTAAATACATTATATAAAAAAGTCATAAAGACATATGCTACTTATAGACAATTCCCAACTTAAGACACTATATAAGGTTCGTCATCTCAAACATATATTGACTCTACATTATCCCCTTTATTAATCAAAAATGAATCTTCAAATTCAGGATAGTTTCTTCATCATATGCACCAAAACTTTCCTTATCTTCATGTAACATAAGATAATCTTTCGAATCTCTGCTCTATCTTCATTCTCATTCTTCTGACAGTTGTTTATGCGAAGCAAGATACTTGAAAGATGTGAGTTTTTGTATCTTTCAACATCATCAATACGAAATGGAAATTTCTTCCATCCCCTTTATTGTTATTCCCTTGAAATAAGACTTCTATTGGTTTATGTATGATCTCTCCATCTTCCTAATCCTCAATATTAAGATTCCATTTCAAAAAGGCCTCACGAACTTTCAACCTTTTGTTGATTCCCATGGAAAGATCAATATCTGTTACCGCTAAGTAGGGAAAGTAACAGTCTACGAGACTCTTTTATGTGTCCATATCCAATAATGAACCAAGTTTGATCTTTTTATTTAACATGATATCTATCCATCTCTCCCAAAATCTTTGTCACAATGATGAGATCGTTGAGATTCATCAAAAGGAATCAACAATTATGAAGCCAAACACAAAATTTTTAGCTCTAACAATTATGTAACTATGATTTTTCAAGATGCCTTCAAAATTAACATCATGTTTGATTGACAAGAATTTAACAATCTTGACAAGAGACTAAACTTCCTCTTCGCTTTTTCCCAAAATGACATAAAAACAAATTTTTAACCTTTTATATTCATCTTGATCTTTGTAATTCAAAGACACTTTGAACTGACCAAATGCGAACATCAAAAGATTTATAGAAAAATGAAGTTGATTGAAGTTCATATCTTTAATAACATAACTCTTCTTTTCCTTTCATAAACTCATCCACACCATCAAGAACAATAGTCTCTATTATTTTGTAACACCAGACTTTATTTGGATCACCCTTGTTAAGTCTTAGTGGATCATTCACCCTTTGACTCATGATGCTATTCAAGTGTCTAAGTTTCTCACTTCTAACTCCCAAATTTTCTTCTATTCTTCCTTTGAAGGTTCCAAATTTACACCCTTCCCTTTGTCTTTGGGAGCTGATGTTGTTATAGGTTTTGTAGTTGTTGAGCTTGATCATCCACCAATATTGAACCCTTTGTTGGTTTGAAGTTTGGGCAAATCGACATCGATACTTGGAGCCTTCGATATTGTTTTTGATGTTTTCACAACTGGTTTCAGTGGTAACAAATGGTAATTGAGTAGAGGTAACCTTTCCCACAACTTTTCCTTTGTCTTGTCCTCTAGCCTTTGATGAACCAACCCCGTCCCCCCCCTGTGACATATTCGTAGAACATATGGCATTAGTTGGAAGGCAAAAGATCAAATCAAAATCGGTGCCAATTCGTCCTTACTGGACGATTCCACAGGAGAAACCATGGAAGTAATATGATCTTGAGAAACCAAAGTCGATATAGGAACATCAAATTTTGATAATTGCTCATGAAATCCAGTAAGCAGCTTCTCAATTTTAATCAACACTTGACTATCCACTTCGTTTTCCTCTGTGATACCTTTATAGTAATCTTTGTTAAAGGCCCAAACATTTTCAATCATTGTGCAAGTGGTCCAATCAAAATCTCAATGTTATCTTTAACCTTTTCACAAAACTTTGTGTCCATATTAGATACATTCATAGTAGCGTCAAGAATACGTATCTCCTCAAAAGTCAGTTCAACATTGGTATCCTTCCTAAGTGAAATATGAAATGTACAATCATTACTCCTAAACAAATCATCTTCTGTTGCTTTGCTGTCTCTATCAGTCTCTATCATTTGTAATGGTGTTGGAGCTTTAGTATAAAGTTCTTCTTGATTCAAATCTCTAATCTTCTTAATTTGTTTTAAGACACCAACAACTTTTATCTTCGTATTCTTCTTCTCTTGAACATCAACGTCAAAAACTTCCATAAACACAACCCCTCATGGTTTAGCTTTCATCTTTATATATTTATGTTTCGTAGGACAAATTCAGGAACATAAATTTCCTTGACACATTCTTTAACAACTTATTCAACTTCCTTCTTACAAACACTTGCAACAGACTTCTCAGGAATAGGTTTTGTAGCCTTCTTGGATACCCCCTTTCTAGACTTCCCACACATAATTTTCTTTGAAATTTTTTTATCATCTACTTTAGGCTTCACAATTGACTTCTTCCTTGTACCCTTGAAATATTTTGAAGTTCCTTCTGTATATTTAAAAGTAACCTTATTAGGAAGAACACTTGTAGGAGTTGGATCCATAGAAGATTTGTATTGAACCATGAGCTTATTGGTAAAAGATACCAAATTAGCGAAAACATCTGGAATACGACCGAAAATAGGAAACGTAGCTGGATCGTCAAGTGCTGAATTAGGAATACGTAACTATGAAAAAGTTGAAACCTCAATATCTTCATTTGTTAGAACACCTGCTTAGATATAAACTTCATGTAAAATCAAATTCCAAAATTGAACACTGGATAGTAGAGGATAGCCATAACAGAGTAAATTTTGAGTTTAGCATTATCTAGACCAAAACTCCTTCTGGTTAGGCATCGTAGAGTTATTCCAAAAATGAAATTACATAATCCAGGAAGGCTTGATTTCTTGAAATTACTTACAAGTGAAAGAGAAGGCTGATACCCAATTTCATTGAACATATGTAACACTTGTTCGCTCGTAACCTCCTCGAATGGAGCTTCAGACGATAGCTTGAGAATTTGGGCAAACCTCTTCTTATTCAGTCTCTTCGTCTTCTGCAGTTCTAATTGGAATGTGATAATTTATGGTGTTTTTTTGTACATATTGGTTAAAGCAGCAAGATTGAAAGGACCTTAGATCAAACAATTTATCAAACAATGACTATCAACAAGAACAACGAAGTTTCACAAAAAAACTTTCACTAAAAATAATAATCTCACAAAGAGATTATCGAATGCACAAAGCGGCTATTAGGGTTTGTGAAAGATGATCTCTCACAAACTTGTACAAAAAGACTATATAGAATTAATCTAGGCAATCCCTACAAATCAAGGATATACCAGCTAACTAATAGATGATAACAATGGAAACAAGATAAGTACTAAATCTGTTACACAATGTTGAATATAAAACTATACACTGAACAACTGGTGTGCTGACGCTGATGCTGACGTTGGGTTATGTGCTGACGCTGAGTGACCAGTTTCAAACATCATCATATTATATGGTTCGACCTTACAATCTACCCCAATATGATGATGTTCAAAACCAGCTAGACTAGAACACCTCTGGACAACTATTCTTCATACGCAGCTTCAACTTCTACTTTTACTGTCCAGTAAGGACTATCCAGCAGCTCCTATCTTCTATTCAGTAACTCCATATCAATTAGTATATGAAACACTCTGGAGAGATCTTGATGACTCATACACATTTGCCTTAAGACAACAAGATGATTTGTTGGAGCCCTTGGAATCTCTGCAGTTCGCTAAAAACACATTTTTCTGTTCTTGTCAAGATAAAACATTCCATGTTCGGGAACAGAAATGAACTGATGTTGAACCGGCTCAACACCAATGGGAAGAGAGTGGTTTAATTCTTCAGCACCAAAATTTAGAACCAATACATCTTCACCATCAACCTGAAATTTGGTTCTTCTGTTTCTTGGAATTGAGGAACTTGAACCTTGCTGCTGCGAATGATCTTTAGGAACGAGATCAAGACGCTAAACTTTCTTAATCAGTAAATGAAGTGCACAAGTCAGTTCTGAAGAAAGAGCTGAAATTTTCTTGGATGCCAATTCGAGCAATTCCATCCATTTAGAGAGTCCATTTCTGATCAGCTCGTCTCTCTTGACAACTTCAGTGTACAGATGTTGAGGACCTAGATGAGTGATCAGCAAAGTAAAAATTTTCTCGTTACGAGGTTTGAGGCTTTAAGTTTGATGATCTTATCATTGCTCACTCTTCGTTTAAGAACATCTTGAAACCTCTTGCGATCAATCCTGTCGAGAACACTATTAGTCCTTGACTTACTGCTATTGGGAGGAGGTTGTGAAGATTTAGATTTGGACTGATATTCTAAAAACCTTTGCATCTGAGCTTCAAAGGATCCTTTGGCCTGAAGTTTGTGTTGAATGAGGGATTCATCAGCTTGAGCAATCTTCTTTAGAAGCTGAGCTTTATTGGCTTCATCAAGGATTTGCTTAACTTGATCAGGAGACATGTTCCATTCAGCTGCCAAATTGGATATGCTGACAATGGACTTAGATTTCTTGCTAGGAAGAGAAGTGTTAGTATGTGAATCAGATCATTCAGTATCTGCTGCCTTGTGCTTGCGAGATACAGGATGAAGATCCTCGCTAACTACATCTGAGTCTTCTCCTTGAACTGGCACAGCGGGATCAATGAAGTTCATGTCTAGCATCTGGCATTCATCATCATGTTCATCTTCATCATCATGCTCACTATCTTCAGTAAGCTTTTCAGTTTCTGTTAGTCTCTCAGAGTCGTGCACAGGCTGTGGTGGCTCGGTCTAGTTTAAAATGTTCTCTTCAGATCCATGCTCAACAGAATCAGTTTCTCCCCCTTTTGATCATCATCATCATTTGGGCCAGGGGAAGGAGTTGACAGAAGAACTCCCTTCAGTTGGTTGACATTAGCCTCAATACGTAGAAGATGCTGACTCATGTCTCGAGTCAGTATAAGAAGCTCATTAAATGCTGAGGCCGGGATTTGAATGAGCTGAGTACCTGGAATTTCTTGTGATCGATGCTGCTCCCCCTGAGAAGGTTGATCCCCCTGAGATGGTGGCATCCCTTGAGATGGTTGCTCCCCCTGAGCAGATGGCTCCCCATGAGCTGAACGAATCCTTTCAGTGACAGAAATGGTATGGTGAGAATGTTGAGGAGAGGTATGGCCACCTTCTTGACTAGGATTAGCTTGTATTTCAGCATTAGTGTTATTGATATCAGTAGCTCTTTCGTCAGTGTCAGTGTTTAGTCAAGGAACAGTATATGGATTCGCGATCCATTCTCGCATTCAATTAGAGATGCCGATGTCATTTGCCAGTGGATCATCCTAATACATTCGTACTGACATGCGGGGGCATTAGATGGGGTTTCCAGAGTGGGAGTAGTAGGCTTCAACAAAAAATTTATCCAGGACAAGAGCAATCCAGCGTGGAAATGGAACATGATTAGCTCGTACATTGACACGAAGAAGTTGGACAAGCTGATCAAAGAAGAAGGCCCCATAATCAAGACGTTTGGTGAGAAGAAGGGAACAGACAACTTGTTTCTCAAAGGCACTCAGTTGATCACCGTTACGAGATTTGTGACCCACACATTTGCAAAGTGCCTCGGTGAAGAACTTCCATCCTGGAGTCATACATTGATGCAGAATGAGAGCTGGTCGAGCACCAGCCTTCAAGTGATCATAGCCCAGTTGATCAAAGAGGCGTTGACAGCGTTCAATAGTTGGAAGCTGAGAGAATGGTTTAAAAATTGGTAACCTAAGTGCAATACTGAGGAGATCAGTGGTGATGAAAACTGAGCGACGGCCACGCCCAATAGTGCCGGAGATGACATTGTTTTCATTATTAAGCGTTGCGGTGTAGTAGAACTCACATACTTGTTCGGGAAAGAACTCTGATGGAACCTCACTGATAGTGTATCGAAGTCTGCAGGATACTAAAAATTTGACAAAATCATCAAGTCTAAGACCGCGATGAACATCTGGTATATCAGGGTTGAAAACGACATTTGTGGCTTTGATGTATATGGGATGAGGAGGAGATTTTGGAGCTGGGACGACTCTTCTTGAAGTGAAGGAGAAAGTAAACAGTGATGCCGCCATTGAAGAGGGTTAGGATTCTAGGGTTTTGAAGAGAGAGAAGGAAGTTTGAATGATGGGAGGAAGGTTTGGGAGAGAGGAGGGAAAAATTTTTAAATATGGGATTAAACGGTTAAGAAAAGGTAATGATTATCTTTATCGAAAATAATTGCGTATCTTAACAAACTGTCAAATCAAGAAATAGCTGTCTGCGGAAGCGCTGAGATCAGTGTCACGAAAAGTTACATGTTGAAAGATAGTCTGTCATCAATTCAAGGTACAACTTGCTTGTTTAAAATTAGCAAGGTGGTTGGTGCGTGTGATAGATATTGGTTTAATTATCTAACCATCGGCACAGAGTGTTGAGTCTTTATCAGTGAGTGGTGCTTCTTACTGAATCATTAGACACTGAGTGAGAAGAAGGTGAAGAATGGATTTTTGCGTGTGATAGACCTTGGTGTTTTAGTCTAACCATCGGCAAAGACTGTTAGACTCTCATCAGCATGTGTTTTGTCACACTGAATCACAGAATCAGTGTAAGATTGGTAAGAAGGGATAGTTGTGTGTGATAGATCTTGGTGTTTTTTCTAACCATCGGCAAAGAGTTTCAAGTTGTTATCAGTCTATGGTTTAATACAGTGAATCATTCAACTTTAGTTTAGAAGATTTGTAGAAGAGATAGAGATAAGAGATCATACAATGTACTCAGCATGGTAAACATCATCAGCACATCATCATCAGCAAAAAAATACATTAGTTTATAAGATAATAGCAAACATTAGTAAAACATTTTTTAATCCAGAGTGATCATTACAAGTTCTCCGATAATGTGAGCAGTAGTTTGAGTATCCAGGGCCTTGGTGAAAATATCAGCTAGTTGATATGAAGTCTTGACATGTTATAGAACAACCTTGCCCTTCTCAACATTGTCTCTGATGAAGTGATGTTTGATCTCCATATGCTTTGTCTTTGAGTGCTGAACATGATTCTGTGTGATCTGAATGGCACTGGTGTTATCACAGTATATAGGAGTCTTTGTGAATTTAAGCCCATAGTCTAAAAGTTGATTCTGAATCCATAAGAGTTGAGCACAACATCTCCCAGCTGCAACATACTCAGCTTCTGCAGTGGAGATAGCTACTGAGGTTTGCTTCTTGCTAGACAACCTGATTAGTCGATTTCCAAGGAAATGACATCCACCTGACGTGCTCTTCTTGTCTAAGTTGTATCCTGCATAGTTGGAATCAGTGTATCCAAAGAGTTCAAGTGCTGAGTCACGAGGGTACCACAATGCCAAGTTCTGAGTGGCCTTTAAGTATTGAAAGATGCGTTTAACTGCAATTCCAAACATGATATCAGGGCGACTTGCATTGAGGTAGAGAAGAGATCCAATCATTCCTCGATAAAGAGAGTGATTAACATCAGTGCCGGTGGGATCAGCGTGTAGCTTATCAGTCTTGGACACCGGAG